ATGTCCATAGAATCATAAAGCCATCAATTCAACTTTTTGGACATAAGTTAAGTCTTAATTAATCTCTCTTTAGCATACCTCGGATTGAAATGATCTCTTGCTATACATAAAATTAAGTGTCTAAATCAGTTGTTAGACTCGTTTCTAAGAAAATTAATCAATCATGACACTTACGTGTCGATCTATGTCTTCATCTCTATTCCATAAATTTTAGGGATATCGTTTTTCTATATGATACTTTTTATTATGTTTTGTTGGAATTGCACAAAATTAAAGAAAATAGTGGTACAAACAAAAAATTTATATTGCATATTAGTCCCCTATACTCATATATTTGACCTTTAGAATAATATTATATAAGATGATGTTATATGCAGAAATCACATCAAATGTCACGTATCAGGACTCGAGATTTTATCTTAAAAATGTCAATATTATTTAAAGCTATGCTACAAGTACAGTCCGGGTGACAGCTCCGGTCACAGCACTCTCACATTCGGGGGGGATTAAAATAATCACGGGTCCCACCGTTTTGTGAGAGGGCTGTGACCCGAGCTGTGAAGCTTGGGCTGTACAAATAGACAAATTCTATTATTTATCTGACATGGAATTCACCATTAGTCCCTGTTTGGTTTTGCTGAAAATTACATTTTTATTAATTTTTTATAAAAGTTGATGAAATGCACAAGTAGAAATTTAATAATAGTTATGGATATCATAAAATGTAGTAATTAAATTTAAAATTAATTGTTGATTTTGATTTAAATTTTATCAATATTTTTAGCTAAACCAAATAAGGGCTTAACATCTTGCACAATATGTATACGCATTTTAATTTGTGCCCGGATATGATTATACACGAAGACGTGCTAGCGATAAAAGGTTGATAACTTTTTACGAACTAGACGTTAATGACGTATTTAATAAAGTAAATCAGTCAAAATACAATAATATTCAATAAAACAAGAAGAAGAAGAAGAAGTTAAATTTATATCCGTGACACGACGTCTTGCATAATTTGAGACGACGTTTCAAACATACACATTTCATTCACGATCCGATATGCTTTCATTAGGCAATATTCTGATTCCAGGATCAAATATTATTATCCTGACAATTCGTTGATGATTTTCATGAAGAATTGTGCAATTTGTTTGATATTCCTTACCATATCTTTTCCCATAATTCATTGCTTAATCAGTGAAAGTCAAAAATCAACATGTTTGATTCCTACCTTTGGAAACAACCCTGAATATATTTATCTTTTATAGATTCACTTTTGAAAGAATGTTAAACCCTTTCGTATCAATTATTTTGTTTTTTAGTTGTGTTTGAAAGCATTGTTTTGGTTATTAACAATAAATAAAACATGGACATGACTCGGAATTGGTCGATTTCGTTGAGATCATCTCGAAAATGTAAGCCGTCCGTAGGGATATCTTGCATTGGATATTATTCGGAAATATTTTGTACACTTGACCGAAGAGAACATGATAACGTACGAACATATATTGTATATCATTAGTTCTTCATAAATCTCATATAATAGCATGCACTCTAGTCTAATATTTCAAAAAAACATGCTACAGTTACAGCTTTATTTAACAATTTTTTTGACAGCCCCTCATATGGGGGTGGGCCCGCGATATTCTTAAATCTCCAAATAAGATATAGCTTCTAGGAGTAGTTGTGAGTAAAATTTCACATCGTTTAAATATGAAAATAATGATTAATATATAAATGCTTATTTTTAACAAGACTGACCTTTTGATATATAAACTCAGAACTCAATATTATTAGTCCAAAACAATCAAATGAGCACCTCGATTCATCTAAAACTCAAATAACAATTGGATTTTAACGTCAATATTATCTAACGAGACACCATTCTCAATGCATGTTAAACCTAAATCGCCACGTATGTCGATACATTTGGGCTTGGGACTCGTTACTAGTTTTGCTAATTTCTTGTTAAATTTTTTCATTCGATACTTGATATGACTAAACGATATAATAAACACGATTTAACATGTAATCCACCCAATCAATATACCCCACATATCTTTATACAATGAACATGGTCCTAAACATCAAATATTTGGATCGGATTTCATGCAAACAAATTTGGATCCCAAGGAGTTGAATAGAGAACATAATATATACTCTGCAAAATATATATCCATATGCTTTCTCATTTTAAGATTTCATTTTCATATTATATCTTGTGACAACTAACATGGCGATTCTTGACGTCATTTTTCTATCTTTCTTGATATTATGCTCATTTTTGTATGCAATATAATAGGAAAGAGATACCAGATCAAAATATTATTATTTTTTATATACAAAAATTAAATTAAAAAACAAACCCTTGAGGGGCTTCTATCTACACTTTCATAAAATTATTATCAAAATAACACCATGGTACATTCACTATCGAATACATTAGCACGTAAGTATTCCCTGAATGAAAAGGAAGTCAACACGCGTTTTAGCTTGATTGTAGTTAGTGCACACTAATCGAAAAGATAGAAATTAAGTTCGCGTATTTAATGAGTCAAGTTTTTTACCACCTCTTCCAGAAGACAACGACATCAAGTTGACAATGTAGAGAGACTAATCAACACTATCCGATATTTAAAAATGTTTTACGTTTTTCATTATATCTTCAGCTCTACAATCATCGCCTCTCTTTCGTTCTTACAATCAATAATGACATGTGGGTAATCGAAAGAGGTAGCGGGTAGATTGAACGAAGGATGAAGAGACTAACGATGTTTGTGTTGGAATGACATAAACAAATGAAGGAAATAACGAGTCTTATGTTGTTAAGTTGAAAGACTAAACATGTACAATTTAAAGTTTAGAGATCCTCTGCATACAAGGTGTCTAGTCTTGGGAGCAACTAGATGCTATATTGAGTTCAACAAAATAACTGGCACGTAAGCAATTCTGTCTATCGACTCATCATTTCTATTAGATGATAAATAGAAAATAACGACATTCACGATGTTAAGTTGGAAAACTAACAAAAGTACGGAGACCGTTCTGGTTTTTTTACCCATTTCAAATACATTATGCAAAGAAAATGATAATTACATAGACAAAGTCCCTCGTTTTAGATAATAAGATGTGATGTTTGTCGTTCACAAAATATTTCCCATTTTACCGTCGAAAAAAATGTCACACACTAAACTGTATTTTTAAAATGATCTGCTTTCTAACTTGATATCAGCATGTTCGATATGTTATATTGGATTGTAGGCACTAGAGGTGAGTTATGACAGACGTGCTATCCACCATATACTATTCAAAATCAAGTCGCTCCTGCATTATACATCCACCCAACTAAAATGCTCTAGCACCAACTTGAACATTGAATCTGTAGCTCTAGAACCCACGACTTTGTTCAGAAGGTATAACTCACGACGACGGTACAATCCACGCTATTTTACCCAAAATAAAGTCTAAGAATTCATCTAAACCCCACTGCGTTTGGGCACTTTCTTCAATTGTGATCCAAATCAACATTCGCAAGTTTCAATGATTTGTTGATTGCATAATTTTTTTCCTCGTTCTTTAAACTTCCTCTACATCATGACTCATGAGAGTAAGGAGTTTAAGCTAAGAGTTGAAGTCGGTGCAATCGGCAAAGGCAGGCGGTTGGGGTGAGTGGTACAGCCATTGGAAAAGAAGACAAATGTTTTTTTTTAAAAATATCAATAGTTTTTTATGTTAATTAAAAAACTTTGATATAGCTTGCCTGTTAAAAAAATTGACTTTTTAAAACTATTAAAGCCCTAAGAATTATGAACCATGCTATAGGTACCCGGGGGTTTACACCCCGGGTTACCCGACCCCACACGCCCTCCTCACAAGGGGGGGCCCGCCGATTTCGCTAGAATCATCTTTAACATTGATTCTCCAGCTCTAGAACCCACAACTTTGTTCAGAAGGTATAACCCACGACGATGGCACAATCCACGCTATTTTACCCAAAATAAAGTCTAAGAATTCATCTAAACCCCACTGCGTTTGGGCACTTTCTTCAATTGTGATCCAAATCAACATTCGCAAGTTTCAATGATTTGTTGATTGCATAATTTTTTTCTTCGTTCTTTAAACTTCCTCTACATCATGACTCATGAGAGTAAGGAGTTTAAGCTAAGAGTTGAAGTCGGTGCAATCGGCAAAGGCAGGCGGTTGGGGTGAGTGGTACAGCCATTGGAAAAGAAGACAAGTGTTTTTTTTTTTAAATATCAATAGTTTTTTATGTTAATTAAAAAACTTTGATATAGCTTGCCTGTTAAAAAAATTGACTTTTTAAAACTATTAAAGCCCTAAGAATTATCCTCCTTCTTCAGGGTTAAAAACAGAATAAAAAAAAAAAAAAAAAACAGGGTGACGTGGCCGGTTTTGATTGAGTGTTTTCGTTTTTTTTTCAAACTGTTCAACTGTGTACCGACACTTGACGCACCTGTTTTTGAATCTGTCAATCACCATGTGCCTGTAGCATGTTTCAAGTCCTAAAGTGTGTTTGGTAGATGTTAAAATTGGATAAAAATTGAAAAATTAGTCGTTATTGTTGACTTTTATTAGCCGAGTGAAACTCACGACTGTATTTTCAATTTTAATTGAATTTTAATTTATCTCAAACAAGCTCCTAATAACTTATGTACGTAAAAGTTTTTAATCTCTGCTCATCATAGAACTTTCGTCCTTAAACGATTTTTTATAACATTTTTATTCTAGACTTTTCATTAGATAACATAAAATATTATCATTAGAAGGGAAAGAGCAGTGCTTTTACTATTTAGTGCTGATTTCCTGGGGCTCGTTTCTATAAAAGATTTCCAAATTTCCCAAATAATCTATCTCTCTCTCTCTCTTTAATGGAAAACGACTACTCCAATAAACCTCTGATTCATCAACAAAAAAGCTTCAATTATTGTTTGATTTTGTGAATTAGATTCTGAAATTCATCGGAGTTGTTAGTAAACATGCAACCTCGTAGTAGAGAAATTCCAGCCATGAATGTTAATTCATTGCTAAACCTCCCAGAAATTCATAATCATCAAAATGGCGAAACCCACATCGATCCGACGTCGTCCCATGAAGATTTTCTCGAACAAATGCTCTCCTCCACCTCCTCCTTTCCCTGGGAGTTCGCCGGCGCTGCAGAGCCCAGCCAAACGGACGATCAGTCGCCTCAACAGAATATGCTTAGCCATTTCGATGACCAGTCGGCGCTGTTGGCTTCGAAGCTGAGGCACCATCAGATCGGCGACGGCGGCGCCGCTGCCAAATCCTTGATGTTCCAGCAGCAGTTGATGTTGTCTAGAGGACTCGCAGGCAACGGGCTCAGATCGCCGGCCGGGACGGAGAGTGGACTCCTGCCGGTTCCTTCGAGCCATAATGGTCATCACGACGTCGTAAATGGGTCCTCCAAATCTGCTAACTTGGTCAGCTTATCGTTTGATTCTCCTATATTTTTATAAATAACTATTTAATTTTACTTTGAAAATCAATTTTTTTATTATTGACTTAATTCAATATTAATGCAGGCAAATGAGGCACTATACAATGGGTTCATTGAATCTCTTGGTCAATCTTCAAATCAACCTCCAAATTTTCACCATCCTCAGGTTTTTAATACATATATACTCAAAAAATGTCACTATAGTCTCCAATCTCCGTGTCCCTGCTATTTTATGCTAGTAGTAATATGACTTTGATTCTTGGTTTTTATATATGCTTGTGTATTATAGGGAGAAGCAATTCAGGCCCAGAGTTTGGGAGCTCCGGCTTCAATGGCAGCAGCAATGAATCAGCCGGGTGGTAATGGAGGAGGGACGCCTCCTCAGCCGAAGCAGAGGGTGAGGGCACGGAGAGGACAGGCCACTGATCCTCATAGCATTGCTGAAAGGGTACGCAGGACAATCGTAAAGTGAATTCGAAGGGATTTGTTCAAATATCGTCCATCTAGTTAACATGCCATCAGTTTTAATTCTCTGTTTTTAACATTTTCAGTTTTCATATTTTTTGTTTTTGATTCTTAATGGCGAAATGAAATGTGGGCAGTTACGTAGAGAGAGAATTGCGGAGAGGATGAAGGCTCTGCAGGTGCTCGTGCCCAATGCCAATAAGGTAATTTTACATCATCCCTCCTTATCTACATCTATTTGCTATAATTTTAAACATTCTATCAACAGTAGAAAATAATCAAAAGATGATGTCTTTATTTCTTCTAAATTTTAGTGTTGGTTTTATGAACGTTCTTCGTTGGATATCAACGTATGAAACGAATAATCTTCTGTTAATTTATTAATAATAACAAAAAATAAGGAATCAAACACTTGTTATTTCTTAAGAATATACTAAAACAATAGATTTAACAAGAGTTTAGAGACGGTTGATCATAAACATTTATATATGTAACTTGAAGGGTGTTGAAGCTTCGATGCAAATTCCTTTGTTCTTTCTATAATTTATATTTTGAAGAACTTGTTGGTGATTAATTGCATAAATAAGTAAAGATTCCAGTTTTTGCTAATTAATTGCATTTTCACGTGTAAAAATGTGAGTGACACGAGTTGACTAGTAAATTGAGTGGAATATGATGGTGATTTCCGTCCGTACTTGAAAGTAAAGCTGGAAAGCATATTATATATTTATATTATAATATTATATACTCCCCCGCCCCATTCATATAGTCTGGTTTTGCTTTTCACACGGATTAAGAAATCTTATTTAGGGGGTGTTTGTTTTTTATTTGAGAATTGATTCTCAAATCAATCCTCATTTTCAACCACATATTCTTCAATAAAATAATATTTTTTATCATATCAATAACTTTTCATTTTTTTTTTAACCACATATTCTCTATCACATCAACAAAAAAAAATGCATTATTAGCCCCAAAATGTGCATGAGTATATGTAGTTAAAAATAGCTCCCGTTTGAGTCACATTAAACATTTTCATTCTCATTCTTTTACCCATTTTCAACCACATATTTTTCAATAAAATAATATTTTCCATCATATCAATAATTTTTTTTTTCAACCCCACATTTCCCATCATATCACTATTCAAAAATCAATTTTTCCCCCAAAAATCCTCTTAATGTTATTGGAAAAAAAAAATTTGTTAAAATTTTTCCTAATTTATCCTAATTTAATTATTAATTAAATTATTATTGAAAGTAGTAAAGAAATAAAGGTATATTAGTAAACGAACAAAACAAAACATTCTCAATAAAGAAACAAAACTGTATAATTAGGATAAGAAAATAAGGAAAGTTAGCATATGTAAATGGGACGGGGGAGTATTAATTAAAACATTTAATTAGTATTAATCGATAACATCGATAGTGCTAATAATTATTTAATAATGTTAGGGATAAAATTAATGAGATTAACATGTGTTTGGGATGTGGAATGACAGACAGACAAGGCTTCAATGCTTGATGAGATCATCGACTATGTCAAATTCCTCCAGCTTCAAGTCAAAGTACTTTCTCTCTCTACTTATTTTCATATTATATTCTTTTTGCTGTTTAATTTGATTTAATAATTCGATGGATTCTTTTGGTTTGACAAAGTGTTATGGACAAGATAATATTCAATCTTGGGGTTTAGATCAGAAGATGGGCTGTAGTGCTTTCTTAATTCTCGTGTATTATGATTAAAGCTGTAAAATTTAATAAAGTTTTATGCTGATGGTCAATTTAGTGTAATGTTTTCTTTTGCTTGACCTTTATATTTTCGTTGCCCATTTTGTGGTCAGGTATTGAGCATGAGCAGAATGGGAAATGCTGCAGGTGTTGTCCCTCGAGTCGCTGATATCTCTTTGGAGGTAATCGAAATCGAGTGCTTTTATATCGTGTTAGCAACACATGAGTACTAAGGACGTGTATCCGCCACCCGCGTGATTCGTTGTCATATAAGTACTCGCTTATTTGATTATCGTAGGTTTATGACTATTGATAATAAGAGAGACTTCATCATTAATATGTAGTTTTACAATCTTGAATACGCATTTATAAACATTTAGCTTAGTGAAGCATGGTCGTGAAATTGTGTACAGGGAAAAAGTAGTAACGATGGCATGAAGGTGACTGAGCAGCAGGTTGCGAAGTTGCTGGAGGAGGACATGGGCTCTGCCATGCAGTACCTCCAAGGCAAGGGTCTCTGCCTCATGCCCATTTCACTAGCCAGTGCCATGTCCACTGCTACAAGTCACTCAAGGAATCTTATGGCCGGTGGGCCATCCTCCCCTAGCATGTCGGTTTTGACAGTCCAGTCCGCTACAGCGGGTGGCAATGGCGGTGGAGAAGCTTCGATTAAAGATGTAGCCTCTTCTGTTACTTCTAAGCCTTGATTAGTTCGACGGCATTGTAATGGCATAGGCTTGGTATCTTTTTAGGAGGAGAGTAAAGTAGAGAAAAAAGTGCGAAAGACAAAAGTGTGGTATTTTCGTAACCTTTATAAACTTTTAAATAAGGGTCTTTTCTTATTTGGGTGCATGACACGACACCGTATTTTTGCTAGACTCAACCTCATTGAGCATTAATTTAATCTAACAACAGTGCAGGTTTATGCTTTAATACGATAGAAGAATTGATTTATCATTTGTTCTTATGTTTTTGGCCTCGTTATTACTGGTCAAAGTTAAGAGGAAAGAAAGTGAAGGCCCCGACATTTATTAGTTGAAATTAGTCAATGTTTGTGTCTCGACTCAACCTAATTTGAAAAAGTATACATTATCGTAAATAATTGCACAATCTGATAGATACACGGTGCGCAATTAGATTGAAACATAGTTTATGAGATAGCAGTGGAGAATTTTTTACATTTAACGAAAACCTAACAAATTAATACCTCGGAGAAAGATAAAATTTAGGGCTAAACAACAAAATCGGAAAATCGAACTGGAGCTACTTTTTTGAAAACGTTGGTTTGGATTCACATGAATTCGTCAATGTTTAGGTTTAGGTTTCAATCTTTGCAAATAGTTTTTTTAAAAATTGAGAATAAATTAATTTATATTTTATTCAACTCAATTAAAATTAAGCACATCTCGTTAAAAAGATACATTCATGTTAGCACAACACAGTTAAACTCAATATCTAAATAGATCATTGTCCATCCCATTTATTTGTACCCAAAAACCTATCGTTCATCATAACTGTGAATGCAAAACTTTCAAATTGGATGAAGTGTTGAACAACTGTTGTTAAACCATATTTATCGATCGTCCCTTATAATTGAGTAAACAATTATATCTAGATTTTAATTCAAATTCAAGCATTTATTTTCTTTTTACTAATAATTTTCTCGAATTTCAGCTAAATTTTCGAGATTGGTTTATCCATTTTTACTTATATTTTGGTAATTGTATGCTATTTTATTTTTTTATATACATATGTTGTTTTGTTCTAATTTGTGCCACGTTCCCTAAATTTTTTAGCTAACAACATTTTTTTGTTTATTTGCAACTCAATTTTCTGGTCACATCACTCAATTAAGTATTTATATTTTAACTTAATTTCTAGATTTTACTAATAATTGCTAGAATGATTTTGTAGATTATTCAAATGATCGTTTTGAAGATTCGATGAATGAGCTTTTCGATATATTACTTTGATGGAAATTGAATACATTTAAATACAAAGATTATCCCTCTAAATTGCTAAAGATGTGTTAGTTACTTATATATCTACAATTGTTTCCGAGTCTACATTTCCTACTAGTGGTCGGATTCTTGATTCTTTTAGAAATTTGTTGAATACAAATATAGTTGAAGTGATGATTTAATTCGTCAAAATATTTGGATGAGGTAGAAGTATTGAATGATTCACAAAATGTTATAGAAGGTATTATCGTATTTGATATTTTTATCATTTTCTTTTATTAGTTGTTTCAACAAATTCATGCACTATATTCTTATATTTATGGAAAGAATGAATCATGTGTTACAATTACGGATGTTGCGCCAGTAATAATGACTATGGCTTTAAAATGTTTCTATAATATTGTTGCATTATATTGATTATAATTATAGAACTTTGGCTTGTAATATTTTTAATAATATAATTTATGTTTTAACGGGAAATTTTTATTAATATTTATGATTCGATATATATGTGTTTTTTTTCTTTATTAAATAGTGATTTTAAACCGAATCAAACCGAAAAATGGTTTGGATTGGTTTGGTTTAAAAAAATGAAATAGTTTGGTTTGATTTGAAAAAATTTCAAACCGTTTTAAGTGATTAGGTTTGAAAATTTGTTGTAAACCGTTCAAATCGAACTGTGTTCACCCCTAACCTATAGATCTCGAACTTCTTTGTCGGTGAAGAAGCTCAAGGAATAAGCATCAGTTAATGTCTATTAAACTTTACTTTATTAAACTTGCCGTAATATAATCGAACTGTGTTCACCCCTAACCTATTGATCTCGAACTTCTTTGGTTTGAAAATTTGTTGTAAACCGTTCAAATCGAACTGTGTTCACCCCTAACCTATTGATCTCGAACTTCTTTGTCGGTGAAGAAGCTCAAGGAATAAACATCAGTTAATGTCTATTAAAGTTTACTTTATTAAACTTGCCGTAATATAATGTCATTACAAGGAGAGAAGAAGATAACTAAAGATGGCTAAGGGTGAGAAAGATGAATACGGAATTTAAGGATAAAACGGAGTCTTATCTTACGAAAATGGGCAGGCGGACAACTTTAAGTTGCTTTATCCTATTACTTTTACTTTACGTTTTTTTTAGTGTTTTCTCCAACTTATTGAAATTCTTTGATTGATGATCCAATTTCGTGTTTGGCTTGTTTTTAAATTATATCAACATATTATTCTCTGACTTGTGTAAAATGGAATCTTTCAAAAGAATTGGTTGGAGTCAACGAGCCACTTTTTCCTTTTTACTTTAATTTTTTTAAGAGAAAGTAATTAGGTGAAGCAAACAATATTAAAAATCCACCAATCATGCTTGTCTATCACAATCTTTTGACATCCTGCACGACAAAATATCACATGACATTTTATAATTGGATTGTTTAAAAATTAATCAACACTGTCATCCAAGATGTTAAGAACATCTGGCATAATGGCATTATTCAAAATCCATTTTTAGGGAGACATTGGGTCCATCTGTGTAAACAAATTTGTGACTTAGCCCCTGTTTGGCCCCCATTATTTGGGATTTTAAGGGGGTTGAAATTTTTTAGAATAGTGATTGATGGGAGATGTGTGGTTTAAAAGTTTTAGATTTGTGTGTATTATTATTTTATTTGATGAATGGATGGTTGAGATGAAGAGAGAGAAATGTATTATTATTTTATTTGATGAATAGATGGTTGAGATGAAGAGAGAGAAAAAATTAATGTAATGGAATGAAATTTGATGGGGGCAAACAAGAGCTTAGTTTTCAGAGAATCCGTTCGGGACTTTTGATTTTACTTCCGTTCTCATTTGTACTATTCTTTTTTATTAAAGAGCTTCTTGTAAAGTTAAGTTAGCTTATTATTTTTTTTTTTTTTCTAAAAGCTCTTTTAATCAAATAAAGTAGTTTTTAAAAATTATCCAAACATATTTAAATACGAAATCTTGATCTCAGGGTAATCTTTTAACTTTTTGTATACTCTGTTAAACCGACCCTTATTTTGGCCAAGGATTAATTTCAACTGTATTATGACCAACTGAGCAGTCAAACTTATGCGTTAGTCAAAATCTATGAGAACTTGTCTTATTCACTTAATTTTAACTTATTATCTTATTCCCTATTTGTTAGAAATTAAAATTTAGATTTTAATTTAAGTAAAAGTCAAAGTCAATAATTAATTTTAATTCCATATTTGATTAGATTCACAACTTTTCAACCATATATTTCATTAATTTTTTATCAAAATGTAAAAAAATCTTATTTTAATACCCACCAAACGGGGTATATTATACTAGTTTCATTAATTACCTAATAATTGAGATTTGTTTGTCCACGGTGAAGCTTTTTTTAGAAAATTTCTTTTTCATTGGGTAGCAGTTAGGGCTGTCCTGGATCGATTCAGTTCGGTTCTGAAGAGTGAACCGAAGAGAATCGAATCGACCCAAGACTTTCAAGTATTTAATAAATGGAACCGTCGTGTCCAAATATAATTATGGAACCGTTCGAGTTCAGTTCCGTACCATAATTAAATTTTTTAATATTTACAGTAACACTATATAAATACAACTAATAACATTTCATTCGTAACTTTTACAAATTAACGTAACCCAATTCAAAAAATATAAATAACTAGTCGTCCAATGAGATTAATTCAATGCATATAAATATCAAAAAGTAGATATTAATATTACACTTTACAGCAACACTACATAAAGTAAATTCATTTGTTTCAACCAGCTTGCCTGCATAAAAAATAAAAAAAAATTATTTACTTTCAGTTCTTATTCGATTCTTGGTATAGATCCGAGACCCGACCCAAACCCATCGGTTCTCGATTCGGGTAACTATTCGAGTATTTAACTTATGAAGAACCGCTCAATTCAGTTCGGGTTCGGACTGGTTCGATTTGAGACTTTTGGACACCCCTAGTAGCAGTTGATCATTAGAGATAAGACATGACAACTGTATCCACATTTTTTTTAAAGTAATGTTATTCATTCCCAGTGGGATTGTAGCCCCAATTTAGGTGACATTAATGTGACATTAAATGATTGATGAAATTAAATAAGTTATTTAATTTCACATATCATTCAGAGTCACATAGATTGGAGTTACAATCCCATTGAGTATGAATAACATTACTTTTTTTTTTAATTGCAGTTAATCAAAATTTGTCTGCATGTTATGTATTGTTGCTATAATTATGCATTAGGAAATAAAGATTATTTTAGACTTTTAATGACATTTCATTCGTAACTTTTACAAATTAACGTAGCACAATTCAAAAACATATAAATAAATAACCGACCAATAGGATTAATTCAATGCATATAAATACCAAAAAGTAGATATTAATATTACACTTTACAGCAACACTATATAAAGTAAATTCATTTGTTTCAACCAGCTTGCCTGCATAAAAAATTAAAAAAAATTATTTACTTTCAGTTTTTATTCGATTCTTGGTCTAGATCCGAGACCTGACCCAAACCCATCGGTTCTCGATTCAGGTAACCATTCGAATATTTAACTTATGAAGAACCGCTCAATTCAGTTCGGGTTCGGACTGGTTTGGTTTGAGACTTTTGGACACCCCTAGTAGCAATTGATCATTAGAGATAAGACATGACAACTGTATCCACATTTTTTTTAAAGTATGCTATTCATTCCCAGTGGAATTGTAGCCCCAATTTAGGTGACATTAATTTGA